TGAGTTTTGCTTAAAAGATAGGTTGCCCTCTTGTGATTTTTGAAAATTATAAATATCTCTTGTCAAAATTTTTACTTAACAGAAAAAAAAATTCTAACTACTCTTTTATACAATAATAAAATCACCAAATTTGATAATTGACATTCATTTTTTATATCATTAAAAATTTAGTAATTAACTTAATAATTTATTAATAAAATAGATCATTTGTTATGCGATTAGAAATTTGAAAGAAAGACAATTCGTACTTTACATAAATTTTAAAAAATACATTTTTAATTTATTCTATAAAAAATCACTTGAAAAAAAAAATCTCGTAGTAACAGCATATTTATTTATAGGTAAATTTTAGTCACTATCCTTAAAGTTTAAAACAAATACAATAAGTCTCATAATTTTGTCATTATTACAATGATCTCCATTTTCATAAGATTAAAAGGACCAAGATTAATTCAAATGGTGTAAAATAATAAGGATGAATAAAAAAATATACATTTTCTTATAAAAGAGATGAAACTATTATCATTTTTTCATTTATAAGATTAATGAATTAGTGATGAAAGAGAATTGAGTGTTACATGAATTAAAGTATTAAAAAAATTTAATATAATTATGTTAAAATTATAAAATTTATTTAATTTTTTAAAACTCCAAATGAGATTAATATATTTTATTCTTTATTTTATTTATTTTTGGACAGAAGCGTCGAAAACTTGTTATGCATAGGGGTGTGCGCGGTGCGGGTCGGTGCGGTTTGAGAGAAAAATAGAAACCGTATGGCGGGTGGCGGATTGATAAAAGCGTCACTAGAATTTGCCATTTTCCTTATCAAAAACCGGCGGTTCGGTTAGTAAATAATGGCGGATTTGCCTTGGCGGTTTGGGCGGATTGGCGGTTTATAAAAAATATAATTCAAATTTCAAAACTTAAATCAATGAGTAAAAAAAAGACGAAGCTTTCTTCTGATGCAGCAAGTGTAGCAACAACATGATAATATCAACGACTATGCCATCAATTCATTACAAGCATCTGTGGAAGCTACAATGATCAAATACAATACATAAAATTAATATCATTTGGGGTTTACAATATATTGAAAATGTTTACTGTTGAAAAGTATTTAGATTGAAAAGTGAGCTGATGCAAGTTTGCAACATGGCCAGAAAAAAAAAAATTGTTTTATTGAAAATAAAAGGATTACAATAGAAAATTTTGTGAAAAAGTCTTAATATAAAGGTAATATCAATCATTATTGATTTGTAAATATAATTAATCTCACTATATATATGTAAAAGTTACTAGAATATTAATTATATTTACATGTGAAATTCACCTTTCATATATTGCTTTATTATTAGTTTGTGATATTGTATGTCAATGATGACATGATATCATTATTATATGAAATTTTCACTCAAATTTTGTAAAAAATTAATTTATCTTATTATTATATAATTTATTTTAAGATTTAAATATATGACTTTTTTATATTGTCCATGATATACTAGTTATATGCAATATTTTCTTTTCGATTTTATTCGAAATTAATTGTAAAATTTTATCTAAAATACTTTTGTAATAATTTATTTAAGCTTTTGTACTTAACATTAATTCAAAAATAATAATTATTATCTCCTTATTGTTTGTTATGGGGAAAAAAAAAATTGAAGTTGTAATTAATAAATACCCATTCTGATTTAGTTTTTTGTCTCTACCACTGACAACATGCAAACTTGAAAATAAAATGATATTATTGTAGATAAAAGACTAGTAATATTGAAAATAATATTACTTCTAATTGAAATGATTTTAATGATGTTAAGTATTTAAAAAGTTAAATTAAAATAAACTTGTAAAAATTCTTTATAGTATTTATTAGGGAATCTTTTTTTTAAGTATTTGTATCCCAATTTTATAATATATTTTTGTATTTTAATAAATCTTATTATTTGAACATTTGATAAACCAAATCCTAATTCTTATATTTAAGGTATTTTATGGACAATTTTACCTTTACAAATATTTTACGCTTAGCAATTTGGTGATGCAAACAGTCATATTCGACAATGTGAATGTTCATATCACAGAACATTCACACTGTCAATGTAAATATTATTATTAGGAGTATTTTGATAACTATGTCATCGATAGGACTTATTAAAATACAAGAAAATAATTGGAATTAAGTGGAATAGGTGAAAAGAGATTTATGAATAAATACCACAAATTCTTTTGAAAGAATGTAAAAAATATGAGATAGTGACAAAAATATAATTTTTTAAAAAAGATAATCCTAAGGCACAAGATTCTGACTATTATTATTAAGTATAAATAGGGTTAGATAGACTTCAAGAAAAAAATTAAAATTCCTAAAGTAATATATTATTAATTATGAGATACTAATTATATCGGTTAATTACGTTGATCTCATCCTCTAATGTTTTAAAAAAATACAACAATCTCAATAGTTTTATCATATTTACACAAATCTTTTCTTTAGTAAAATTAAAAAGATCAAAATTAATGTAGACGGTATAAAGATACAAAAAAATATACATTTTCAATATAAAGAAAATGACAATATCAATTTTCCATCTACAAAACCAACTCTTTTTTTTTTTTGGTGTGTATGGAGGGTGGGGGGTTATTCTCAATTAGACGAATCAGAAGCTTCATTTAGTTTTCCGTTAAAAAGTCAATTTATCAAATAAAAAGAACTATTTTACTAAAAAAATCATTGTAATCACTTTTATTTTATTTTATGTTAGATTGGGAAGAAAATCTTCATTATAAAATCGATAAAAAAAACCAGATCAATCTCGTACTGCAGTAGTAAAAGATCTCATAAAGAGATAACAAACTTCTATTGGAGAAAGAATCCTAACTCCATAGAGGAGGAGAAAAAACCCCCACAAAGGAGAGACACAACATTCACACAGAGAGGACAATTACAGTAAACAATAAAAAAATTATAAAAAAAAAAAGCAAACCGAATGCAACTAGATTCAAGTCGCCAAACGCATCCAAAACTTCATTACACCATAACCTTCGACTTAAAATTTGAAGACTCCATCTTCTCTGGTCAAGATGAAATATTGAGGTTAAGGTGATCGCTAATATGAAACAAACGTGTTAAACATCATCAATCTTCTGATTATGAGAAGATCTGAAACTAGATCTTAAAATTTTGAACATGGGGGTGAAAGTTTGAACGCAAGCCAAACATCAGATTCGGAAGATTAGAAAGAGAGAGAGGTGACACTAACACCGGTGGCCACAAGTAGATTTGAAGGAGATGATGCCAATCTAGTAAGGGTGGATCCATGGAAGAGGGAAGGTGGCAGATTTGGTGACAGTGTGGTGGTGGTTGTGCCGAAAAGGGTTGGAAAGACAAGCTTATAATATTATTAAGCAAAGAGGCAAAGAAAATGAGAAAAATGAGTAGAAGGAGAAGAGAGGAGGCCAACGGCCGAAATCCTTCCCCACCTCCCGACGGCACACTTTAGTAGAAGACTTAGGTCAAGTTTGGCATCTTCAAAAAAATTCAAAAAGTCAAAAAGTCACTATTCTATTTAAGTCACATCATCTTATTTAAGTCACATTACCTCTCTATCACATCATTTCAAACTCAACTCATATTTCATAAAAAGTCAAAAAGTATACTTATTTAGTACATCCCAAACAACCCCTTAGAAAGGGAGCCTTAAAGAGCGATGTCTTGAGTTTAAAGAGAAAGAACAAGCTGTTTTAATCATTGTAATCACTTTGAAAAGTTATTTAAAAAAAATTTTAAAAAAAAAAATTGATACTAATGTATTAAACTTCTTTTTAACAAATAAATTAGGAAAAATTACAAAAAAAAAAGAAAAAAAAAAAAGTACTCCATGGTCTGAGTTTTGTAATAAAATAAATCTTGAATTTTTAATTTTATCAATTTAAACACTAATTTTTTGATTTATTTTTAATCTAAACTATTTGCGTATTTCGGTGGCAAAAAAAATGTATTTTAGCTATTATACTAAATGTAAGTATATGAAAAATGACTAAAATATCATTTTTTATTCAAGTTAATGACTAAACTATTATTTTTCTATCAATTTTAATTAATGAAAATAAGTAAATGATGGAAAATAAATTAAAAAATTAAGATTTAAATTAATAAAATATTTAAATTTTAAAATATATTTATTATAAGACTTACATCTTTTGAACTTTTTTTATAATTTTCCCAATAAATTAATTTTTTTAAACTAAACTTTATAAGAGACATAAACTCCATTATTGTGAAAGAGAAAGAATAAGGATTGAGACTACCAATTCCTCATCCTTAAAAAGACTAAACTTACTCATCCACCCCCATCAAAGATAAATTTACTCATCTTTTCACTAATTTCAAGTTTCATAAATTACAAAATAATTCCTAAATTTTAATATAATTTTGTAAAAAATTACATTGCAAGATGCATCTTATGAGTGAGCTACATGCAAGAGTTCATGAGGAAGAGAGGAGGATGGACACGTGTTGAGCTGTGAAGAGAAGGAGCAGAGAGAAACAGCTGTGGTGGAGACACATGGCTGAAACGTGGCAGAACTCCATGCATTTGACATCTTTCCTGACCTCTATGGCGGGCCAGACTTGAAATTCGCGTTTAATCCCTCTCTTTCACGAGAATTATTCAGTAATTTCGAAATATGAACACGTGATATTATTATAATTGGTGAAAAAGATAATTAGGTAAAATATTATATTGAATGATTGGAGAACATAAAAAACATATTAAATAATGATTAATTTGAGAGTACAGACACGTGATGTTTCGAAATTATTGAATAATTTCTCCTCTTTCACACAGACAGTGAAATTACACATTTCTCAACTGAGAAGAGAAGTCTCTGTTCTCATTGTGGATCCCACTTTCACAAATTTTGTCCCAAAAAATACAAGTCACACAGTAACAAAAGGGAGTTCCATTGTAGCAACTTGTTAAGCCACATCTCTCTCTCTCTCTCTCCCCATACATACATACGAATTTTCTCTCTCTTTCTATGGGTTGATGGTGAGAGCTTCAGAAGTTTGTTAATGGAGGTGGTGGGTTATGGCCATGTGGATCCTAACAAATATATGTTCTGAACATTAATTTTGCTGAAGAAGTTCTTGTGATCAAAAAATTCTGAGGTTGATGAGAAAAGTCATCAATAGGTAATATCATGTATTGGATATTTGTATATTTGATTTATGAATAAGTGTTTTTAAGTTGTGCATTCTTTTGAAAATTCAGGTTTTGGATCTGGGTTATGCTTTGTTATTATTGACAAAATTTGTCTTCTCTCTTGAATTTATTTCATTTCAATCACTGCATGTGTATCAAATTTTATAATTCTATGGATTGTTCATAGAAAATACATTTAGGCCATGTTTGTTTGGCGGATTGGATTAGCATTCCCATGACTAATAGTCCTGGGACTACGAATCGGTTGGATTATGTATCCTATCTTAACTAATAGTCAAGTTTAAAATAATTAGTCCGTATTTCAATTGTTTAACCAAATATCAGATTAATAATTTTATTGGACTATTAGTCCCATCTCAAACTCATGTCCACCCAAACAAACATGACCTTAGAGCAATATGAGCGGATTAGTCATTTTGGTGTGATGGCTTCACATTCAATGTGTTAAAATTGTTCTATGTTTTTATTATATGGTAGATGATGTTGTGTCTGTAAATTTTAATTATGATAGTTTAATATTAAAATTGGATAAAATATTAAAAAATCATATATTGAATTTAGTGAAAAAAATATTATACTTCTTCTTTACAAATATAGAATAAATTTGGATATGTTAATTTTCCGAGTAAAATTATGTGTAAACTTTTCTAGTTTGTATTGTTGCTTCCTTATACCTTAGACTATTTGTTAGCAAGATATATAACTATTAATAAATTTTTATTTCTATTTTGTGCATCTCGTATCAAATGGTATGAGGTTTTAAAAGGATGATTATTAAAAAGATTCCGAAATAAAGTGAGTTTAGTGTTCAACCAATGAGGTGCTAGCTTGAATTTTGTAGTGCTATGCATGGTGATGGATAGGGGGATAGGATAGGGATAGGGATAAGGATAGGGATAGGGATAGGGACAGGGATAGGGATAGGCACTAACACTTTCAATACCAAAGAAGGAAAGTTTCTCTCTCATCATTTCGAAACCACATGACAAAATTTTCTGATTTTGGTAATAAGTTGTATGCCACTCATAATTAGAGTTAAATTTTGTTCACCATGTACTATATAGATGTGTGTGAACACTATCTTTTTTATTTATTAAGCCAACAAAATTTATTGTTTTAAATGAGACTTAACTTTATTTCTTAATCAACTAGAAAAAAAAAACAAATAATGCTAGAGATACTCATGTGAGACATTTGAATATTTATTTAATAAAAAATTTAAAATTTATTTTTTTTTGAAAAATATTATTTACTTGAAGATGATGGGTGGGAGACAATAACTTTTTTCAGTGTCCTTACTCTCTAATTAGTAGTTCAGTTTTTTTTTTTTTTTTGTAAATGATCCTAATTTTGTCATTTTCTTTTCATGTTTTTTAGGATGACTTTGTCAAATTTGATATTCAATTAATTCTATGTGAAATTCTATAAAGCACATTGTTTTTATTTGGCTTATATTTACCAAGATCTTCAAATTTATATAAAAAAATAAAACTTAGATGAAATGATTTAAGACCCATAAGATGAAATAATTTAGAACATTTAGTTTAGTTTGATAATATTTTTCGTATTTGTAATTAATCTTCTACTAAATTAACAAAAAAAAGCCTTCGCATTCAAATCAAATTATGATTTTGGTACTAGTAATTCAATTCAAATCAAAGTTAATATAAAACATGTCATGCCATTGTAGAATTTTGTGTCAATTTGGTTCAATTGATAATGTCGATTAAGGTTTTTAAAGATAAATGGTCACTAAATCGGTTGAACAAGCTTATAATTTTAATCAAATGGATCAAATTAAGACAAAATCATAAATATAAGGTCAAAATCAAGTCAATTGAAATTACAAATATCAAAATGACACAATGACCAAAATATAGAGACTACCAGTGTAATTTACTAAAAAAAAAATGTTATACAAACAAATTTCTTTCTAACTGTGGTGGCATGCAGCAACAAAGTATTAGAAATTGAAAATAACAAATTAAATTATAAAATTAACTCAAATGCCACATCAATTCTCCATTTTCTTATTTGTGTGACTTCATACACAGGTCCATTTTGATCACTGTCTTCAACAGCAACCAACACAAGTTCTTCAACTGAAAATCGAAAAAAATGGTGGTGATAGAGCCTGAAATTATGTCCAAAAGTGAGGTTGATTCGCCATTACAATTCGACCAACAGCCCAAGAACCATGCATTCCCGTCGCTGGGACGACAGTCATCAATTTACTCACTCACCCTCGATGAGTTCCAGCACACGCTCTGTGAGAGCGGCAAGAACTTCGGGTCCATGAACATGGATGAATTTCTCAACAGCATTTGGACTGCAGAAGAAAACCAAGCCCAAGCCCAAACCAACTCCAATCCCACCACCACTGCCACCGTCACCGCCACAAACATAAGTAGCAATAACAATATGCAGTATTTCCCCAGTGAGGGTTCGACAGATAGGCGCATTGCTAGACAACTCAGCTTGTCAAGGCAAGGCTCTCTTACGCTTCCCCCGCCTTTGTGTGGAAAAACGGTGGACGAAGTGTGGTTGGAGATACACCAGAGTCAGCAAGAACAGCCACAGAGTGGTGGTGGTACTGTTAGCAGCAATGTCCAAAATCCGGGTTCTACCCCTTGGCAACCCACTTTTGGAGAGATGACACTGGAGGATTTCTTAGTTAGAGCAGGGGTAGTTCGGGAACAGTGCAATCCAATCCTGCCAGCTCAGCATCAGCAGCAGCCGTGCAGGTTGTACCAGAACAATAATAACCCTGGAGTAGGCCCTAGTTTTGTTCAGAGGTCCATCATGGCTTTAGGTATAGGTGGCGGTGGCGGTGGCGACAACAGTGGTGTTAATATGCCAACGTACCAAGCATTGCCTCAGGGTGGTGTTGGTGGAGTAGGCGAGCCAGCAGCGTATGCGGGAAATGGGAAGAGGAGTGGTGGTGGGTACCCACCACCGCCATCCACGGTGTGTTATGGTAGTGGTAGAGTTGGGAATGTTGGTGGTGGTGGTGGTAGTGGCGGTGGGTATGGGCAGGGGCAGGGGCAGGTGTTGGGGATGGAGTTGCCATTGAGTCCAGTGTCATCAGATGGAATGTGCCCAAGTCAAGGGGATGGGAGGAATCAGTTTGGGATGGATATGGGCGGGATGAGGGGGGGACGGAAGCGGATCATAGATGGTCCGGTGGAGAAGGTGGTGGAGCGGAGGCAACGCCGGATGATTAAAAACCGGGAGTCCGCTGCAAGGTCTAGAGCCAGGAAGCAGGTACTTTCCCGATTTCTCCCACATGCATTTAGTACAACCACAAGAAGTGGAAATTAGTGATTGTTAATGCATAGAGTAAATTATTTTTTTCAAAAATACCATGTATCCAAAAAAGAGTACTCAAAAAAGTAAATTTATGGACTACAATTATTCTAGGTGTGGCCCACATCCAATCTACTTTAAATCTATACCATACACCTTATTTTCATAATAAATTTTGACACAAAATTCATACTATGTAGCTTCTTCATTTTCTTTTGCTTTGGCAGGCCTACACAGTTGAACTGGAAGCAGAACTGAACCAGTTGAAAGAAGAGAATGCTCAGCTAAAACAAACTCTGGTGAGAATGGAGATATATATTTACATGAGAACAATCATGCTTTTAACTTCATTCACTATGATATATATTAGTGATATGCTTTTAATTGATGACAGCACTGACAAAAGATTGCTTTTATCATTCTGTTAAACAGGCTGAGCTTGAAAGGAAAAGAAAGCAACAGGTAAATCATGTCAAATTACTGCTTTTAAAATTAAAAAAAAAAGGGTTTTGTACCCTAAAATTGAAGTGTACAGACGTAGATTCAAACTTGACGTGGCATGAGCCACGGTAGAATAAGTCTAATCCACACATTTCATTTTCAGAGTACTATTCCCGAGTGTGTAGTATTGCTGTGATCCACATCTGGCATGATAACACCTCCATTTAGAATAGCTCTGTCATGTTCTTTCATTTTCACTTTGTTGGCCATAATTTGCAATTTTGCAGATGTGGTGCAACCTGATGATGCTATTCCACTTGGAGGTGTGTGTCTGTGGGAATTAAGGACATTAATGCAAAACGATTTGAGAATTAAGAAGCTTTTTGGAACACTAGTTTTGGAGTTTGAAGTGTTTTCAATATTTGTGCAGTATTTTGAGGAAGCAAAAATGAAGGCTCAGACCAAAGCTCAGAAGGCCAAAGAGAAAATGCAGGTTATGAGGAGAACTTCGAGTTGCCCATTGTGAAGTCCAGAGCAAGATCAAGATCAAGGATCAAGATCAGATGACTAGTTTGCGACTATGATTTTAGAGAAGGAAAAATAGAATAAGCTAGTTCAGTGCTAAATTATACAAAGGTTTTTGTTTTTTTTTTTTTGGGTGTCTCTGTTATAACCCAACACAAAGTGTGTTTGCTCTCACAAAAAGTGCTTGTATGTATAGTTCAGCTCAGTTCAGTTCTTTGAAGTCTTCCTCAGCATAGACAATCAATGCTTTGTTTATATTTTGAAACTGTGGAGGAAAAGAAAAGAGTGCTGCTACTTTTCTTTTTTGAACCCCTCATTTCTTTTATTTTTTTTAATTCAAATTTTGTGCAAACATGAAATTATATTTTTACCCTCATCCCTAACATTCTACTCCTAATTTTCCAAACCCTAACCCTAACAGTGATAACCCATTGGTCAACAACCTCCACTAAAGCTCCGGCGGTGCACTCCGACGATACTCCTCAGCTCATACTTGCTGCCATTCACCACCGCCCAACCCCTCAACCTCCCCTTGACCCTCGTCCACCACCCCGGCCACCTATCAACCCATTCTCACCCACCACCGCCATAGCCCAACCCCATCTTGACCCGCAATCTCTCTCTCTCTCTCTCTCTCTCTCTCTCTCTGTATGACCTTTTTTTCTGTAATCTCTCTCCCTTTGTCCTTTCTCCACTGCATCGCCACCCTCAACCCATCCCTAACCACCACCGTCACTACCCATTGCCATCTCCACCGGACATCATCTCTCTCTCTCTCTCTCTGCGCACGCGCGCTGCAATTGCGACATCGCTGAGGCCGTAGATGAGGACTACGCTGACCACGAAGCTCGGGTTGAACTGGCTTGAGAGCATTTGGAGCTATTGGAGTGGTTCGACGATAAGTAAGATTAATGGGTTTTGTGATCTGGGTTGGTGGTTGGAGATTGGCCTGAGGAAAAGTAGTCACCAGAGGTAAGAGGCTTTGTGTCGGAATCTTGGGTTTCTGGGGAGCATATGTTTCAGAATCAAAGCATGGATCTGAAGAAGAAGAAAGTATGGGATGCGAGAGAGGGAGAGGGGGGGATTAGGTTAGGGTTTGGAAATGGAAAGGGCAGAGGTTGTCGGTGAACGATTGCCGGCAGTGGAAACATTGCTAGAAGAAGAAGAAGAGTTGGGTGTCCAAAGATAAGGATATAGTTGATATTAAGGTGGGGGGTTCAAAGAGAAAATGTGAGGGTTTCAATTAATTTTAGGTAGAGATTAAAAGAAATGGGGGGTCCAAAATAAAAAGGTGGGGGCATATATAGCAGGCCTCAAAAAAAACAAGGAGATGAAATCACTTATACCTAGTTGTTTCTAGGAATTATCGACCAAAAAAAAAAAAAAAGAAAGAAGAAGAATTTTCAGATAGATGACTATATTTTCTTGTCAATTTCTCAACCAACCAAACAAAGTTAGGAATTAGTTAATTCATATAATTTTAATTTTTGTTTCATTTTTCTTTAAGCTAGGTTTGGTATGTGGGCAGGGCCGGCCCTGCCCTAAGGCAGGTAAGGCTTGTGCCTTAGGTCCCATATTTTGGCCTCATATTTTGGCCTAAAAATAGGGCCCCTAAATTTAAAAAATTGTTATAGGTTCAACTTTTTTTTTTTTTTTGGTTTTAAGATCAATTTAAGAGCCCCAAATGTTTTATTGGGTCCATGTATAATTTAGCCCATATTTATTTATAAATGTGTTTGGCCCATATTTATTAAAATGAAAATATATAAACAAATAAATAAAAAACAATAGGGCCCCTAAATTTGGTAAAACATATAAACATATAAACATATATAACATAGGGTCCCTAAATTTGGCCCAAAAATAGGGCCTCTAAATTTGATAAAATATTATAGGCTCAATGTTTTTTTTTTTGGTTTTAGGATCAATTTAAAGGGCCCCAAAATATTTTTTTGGGTCCATGTATGATTTACTCCATATTTATTTATAAGTGTAGTTTGGTCCATATTTATTAAAATGAAAATATATATTAAAAAAAAAGTGTTTGGGCTCAAGAAAAATAATACATACAATATATGGGTCCTATTTTTTTTATTTTTTATTTTTACCTTCTTTATCTATTAGATTTTAGTGGAATAAATAATTTTGCTCAATTTTTTTTACCTACATCTTTATCAATTTTAATTTCCTAATTTTTTCCTAATTTTTTTGTTCTAATTTTGTTTTATTAAATTGTTTTATTTATAATTTTGATGATTATATGTGTAAGTAAATTTTTTTATGGTTACAAACAAATAAAAAAATTGTAACTTATCGTTTTATTCATAAATTTTTTTTCAATATAAAAGGGCCCTCATTTCCGAAATTCGCCTTAGGCCCCGACAAACTCAGGGCCGGCCCTGTATGTGGGAATGGAAATGGGATAAAACATGAAGAGAATGGAAGGAATACCAATTGTCACTCCATTGTTTGGTTATAAACCAAATCAAATCAATCCTTAAGTCCCATCAATTGTCACTCCATTGTTTGGTTATGACATGAACAATACATGTTTTGATGTTTGGTTATAGTTCTGCCTATTCAAAAGTTGAAATGGAACGATATTTTCAATATTAAATTTTCCAAAATAAATTGTCTACAAAAAATCAAGAAGTTAAAGTAAATCACTAGAACAATCCATTATCAGAAATGAAGAGAAAATTAGAGAAAATCATTGATGTAAAAGCAAAACAAACGAAACAAAAATCAAAATTGTTCATGGAAAAAAAATTTCAGCAGAAAATGAGACATACTCAAATCTTGTGTGTGTCTGTGTGTGAATAATGAGACACCCGTTTGAATTCCATTTTCATCTTTCTTTGATTTGATTTTGATTTGGTATTTTCTGCAAAAATGAAGCAAAATCAAAGATTCCCACTCATGTTTACCTCAGAAGGAAGGGCGCTTCGCTTCTCTTTGCTGCCTGCAATTGGAATTTGGATGTAATACTCCTTGAACTCAGAAATGCAATTCCTAACACATTCAACCATGCCCCTTCATCACACTGCAAAATGAAAGTATTTCTTGTTAACTAAAGTATAAATGTAGCTTTAACAATGAGAATCAAATGGGTCAGTTTGAAAAAGAAAAGAAAAGAAAAGAAAAGAAAGGAAGAAATTAAGGTGTCATACTTGGAATATCAGAGGAGAGTACAGGAAACTCCAAGCAGGCTTAAAGGCCAAGTTTCTATACATAATATTTCTTTCATTTGACAAATAATAAGTTCCTGAGTTATGAAACATCAATGTTTGATAAGATTTTTCGATATGCCCAAAGAAGAATAGTTTTCATCTTTCTTTGATTTGATTATTGACAACAGGTAAATATTTTCTGTATAATTAGAGAAAAAAACAATGATAGGTGTGTGAGAATGAGGTCTATGAAAAAGTCCATCTCTACACATCCCGAGAAGAAATGGAAAATCTTGTCCTTGACACCGGCAGTAGCAAACCTCTCTCCGCTGATGGAGAGGCATGGTCATTCCATTAAATTGTGAGAATAGACATTCAAATGGAATGGCCATTCCTACTTTCATTTGTCATACCACACGTGAGAGAAAAAAAAAAGGATACCTGGAATGTGCACCCAATTCTAGTCCATTCCTATGTACTAAAACATAACATTACATTCTCTTAACAAATCCCAGATCAGAGCCGGCCCTGGGGCATAGGCCACAAGGCCATGGCCTAGGGCCCCTCAAAATAGACTTAAAAAAAGGACCCCTTTCTATTATAATTTAGTGTAATATATTAGGTATGTTTTACGTCTAAAAAAATTTAAAAAGGCTCAAACTAACTTAAAATAAATTGATCAATTAAAAAATTGAAAGGCCATTCAAAAAAATTAGTATTGTTATCCATTGAAAATAGACCCAAAAAAGAGTCTTTTTATAGTTTAGTCTAATATATTAAGTATATTTTAAGTCCAAAAAAAATTAAGGTAGGCCCAAATTAACTTAAAATAAATTATTCCATTAAAAAATTGAAAGGCCCATTTAAAATAATTAGCATTATTATTCATTGAAAATGATTTTGCAAAAAAATTAGATTATGCAAGTATGATTGATTTATTTGCTTCTAAAAATACAAGAACAGTGAGAATCAAGGGATACTTATTAGTTATTGTAATATAATGCTAAATATTTTTTGTGATGTTGACACAAATCTTTTGTCCTTTACTTTTAATTTTTTTTTTTCATTCAATAAAAAAAAATGTGAAGGGCCCTAAAAATTTATTAGTTAATTATCGACTTTGAGTCCCCGGAAATCTCAGGGCCGGGCCTGTCCCAGATCCAAACATAACACAATGGTATAACCAATGTAAACTGATGTTACACGTTGGCCATATGCTATGGATAAAGACTGCTTTGTGTCTGATGCACTAGATTTAGTTTCAAAATGTGACGAGTGTTCATCTTAACACAGAAGCAGATAAGGGAGTGTGTGATGCAGCCAATTATTTATTGTGTCGAAGCATACGGGGTTTGGAGGGTATGATTTCCTCTGTGGCTAACTCAGCTTGCCCCTCATGTTCCAGCCTCTATCGACCTAGATAGAGGATGATTTCCCTCTATTAGAATTTGAAAAACCCCAGGAACATGCAAAGCATGCATGAAAACTTACACGCCCTACAGCTAAAAATTGTTGATGGCAATACTAAATCCATCATACCAGCCGAAGCTACTTAAATTGACAATTTAAAAATGCACTTGCTCAAAATAAAGTGCTTCAAAAAATTGGAGCATCCCAAAAGAAGCTTGATCAAAAGGATTCAACATTAGAGCTGCTAATTGCCTATTATCAACAGAAGACTCTACTGGTGAGAATGATCTATTACAGATGGCATACTCTGCCTCAACCTTCACAACCACCTTCTCACAAAAAGGAAGCTGAATTAAAAAGCTTGAAGGCTCAACTGCAATACCTCCAGAGTCAGAAACAGCTTGTGTAACTATCTTTTGATTCTTTTTCTTCTTTCCTAGGTCAATCTCCTTCTTTACCTCTTTGTCAACCTTTTGATTGTATGCAATTGATCTTATCTATCAAATCTTTTCTTTTAGAGAGAGAGAGAGAGAGAAGAAGCCAATTACTCCAGAAATCAATATAGTCTGACCTTTGTGGCACTTTTGTTCTTATATTTTAAAATTGTGCACAAAAAATATTGTTGTTCCATTTTTGTTCCAATGTCAACATTGTGTCTGGGTTGTCAATAAAAGTAACAAAAAATAATCACGCGGTGCACACGTGAAATGTTGTGAGGGTAAATTAGAGGTAAAAGGAAGGAAAAGGGGGGGATCAAGAACAAGATTGAGAAGAATTTTCACTTCGGTGTTTTAATGGAGAGTAATGTGACCATATGAGGAGAAGACAAATGAGAACTTCATGGATGATCCACAATCCTGGCAGAAGAGTTTTGAGTGCAAAAGGTATGCAGTGTGTGTAGAATTCTGAAATCTAAATGTCTTTGTTTTTCCCCAATGCAACAAAAATAAAACTAACAGTTAAATTTTTCTTAAGCTTCAAAGTTTTCCAATATGCATTAATGTTTACCCCTTCTTCCTTAGAAACTCAATTAAGAAAGATTCTTCCTCGCATAGCTTCTTTGTTCCTAACTTACTTTACAACTTTCCTAGCTCCAGATTGTGAGATAATTAGGAGTTATCAAACACTTGAAGAGACAAAAGTTCATTTACTGGAGAAGTAATTGCAACAGAAACCCAAAGATAGTGCCTCAACAACCTGTTTACACAACGGCCCATTCTTCAAGATATAAATACAAGTAATTATTTCATACGGGAGGGGCAAGACTGACAATCAAGATTAATGCTTAGTAAATGTCTTAATTTAAAGTAACTCTTATGTTAAGTTCCATTGAGAATATTGAATTATATAGATCTATCTAATGATAAAAATAGCAATACTTCAATTTTTGTAATGTTGATTACAACCCACTTCCCTTCCCTAGCACTTCCCATATAAAAATCAAACTACAAAGCCTAATGCCTTCCAGACTCCATCTATTAAAGCGTCTCATTATCAATATGATTAGTGCTTTGAAAAATGTCCCAATTGATAAGTATTTGTTGTATATTTTCATGATCTATCACTTATATACTGAATTGCCTTGTCATATCTCATAATATTTCTTATATTGTGCTTTGCATGTCAAAATTACAATCCAAGCGTATAAAAAATTACGATTAACGTGTTTATTGTTGTTTCTATGACGAACTATTTTAATATATACTATACATTCAAAACCAAATTACAAACCTACTACCATACAATCTAGCTATTAAGTGTTTAATCATAGATGAGTTTCACTAACAAACTCTGCACAAACAAAATGTTCATCAATATAAATTATATAATAATAAAATGCTAAACGGCTAAAGGCATTGGAATGATTTGGTAAAGGCCATTTTACATTAACAACAATAAAATTTAACATCTACAGATTATGGCTGAATATGATCACCATAGGACATAGTTTCATTGTGTTCATTCGCCTCCTACATGGTAAGTTATTATTGTGTTTGATACAGTCAATAGATTAATTGATATTAATACTTATAGAATAAAATGGCTAAATGTGGTAA